TACATACAGCGTACTATAACATAGTACAGTGTAGTATAATATAGCATGGCATAGTATACGTATTTCCATGAACATCTAAATTTCTATAAGAATTATTCAAAAATTCTCAAAGTATAATATACAGCATAGTATAATATAATATAGTACAGTGTACGTATTTCCATGAACATCTAAATTTCTATATTTCCAAGAATTATTCAAAAATTCTCAAAGTATAGTATACAGCATAGTATAATATAATATAGTACAGTGTATGTATTTCCATGAACATCTAAATTTCTATATTTCTAAGAATTATTCAAAAAAACTGGTGTACGTATAGTATAGTATAATACAGTACAGTGTACACAAAGTTTTCCAAAAGCCATATATTTCCAAGAGCAAAGTTCAAATGCTCACAAATAGTAAATACTTTCGACTTCGTCCGCTTGACTCGATTTAAATATACCGTATAGCGTATAAAGACCAGTTACAAACTATTGTATTATTGGCTTGAGCTGTTTAGTAAAACGCACGTGCAATGACGCAATCGTCTGTAAAACTTGAGCCGGTGTGTCCATCCGTTCGTCCCCGTCCGTGTGTTGGCGAGAGGCTGCCTCTATTTAGGCGACGACGGTAGGGGGGAAGTGGCGCGTGCCGGCATTTAGACGGGGTTGCTTCCGCGATTATTGGGTAAATTAACATCCCGGTAATTGTGTTACCGACGAGTGTCCATTCATCCGTCCGGTCGATCCCTCGGCGGTCCGCAATACGACGTGGCCCAGCCTCTCCCCTCCCCCCAGCCGATGTCGACGCACCAAGTCCCGAAATCCCGTCCGCAAGCTTAACGCTGTCGAAACCAGCCCTCCGATGTTCCGGAAACCGCTGCCAAAGTCCGCTCGCCGCGCTCTAAACACATTCTCTCGGGACTTGTTACGCGAAAAATCGCCAATCACCGTTTGGACGTTAAACGGCTGCGATTATTTATGCATCGTTTGCCACGTATCTCCTCCCTCTCTCTTGAGAATCGACCAGCAGGAGGAACGTAGACGCGGAGATGAGACGAAGCTGTAAAAAATACGAAAAACCGTATATACAAGTCGGTTCGCTGTTGCTTTTTGTTAAGTGAGATTTAGAAAGATGACAGAACTATATAACTTATATAGTGAAATAATTTATATTTTCAATAACTTATTATTATGTAACTTATATTTTTAATAACTTATTGTTATATAACTTATATTAACTTGTGAAATAATTTATATTCTTCGACTTTGGAACTTGCACGACTAATTGGGAATTACGGATGAACAGTACCTAATGTATCTTCGTTTCAGTAAGTGTAATTAATGGTTGGATAGGATCTCCCGACGTAAAAATTACGTTAGCATGTACGACGTGATGCCATAATAATTTTCATCGATCGAAAACGTATTCCTACGCCCGGGCCACAGAGGATCATGCACGCAGAACACCAATCTATTTTGGACGTGCATCATAAGTAGGTATCCGCATCCAGCGTCGTGTACAGATCGTCCAACGAGTAAATCTAATTTTCATCCTCTTGCTCCTCGTGATCCGCATTCTCCACCCTTTCAAGATTCGGTACAGATGTATTGACTTGCGAAAAGCTTTTATATACTTCGACGCAGACGGAGGATCAATACTTGTGAGAAAGAAGTATAAAACAGGAGAGGAACAAAAAAAGAAAAAAAGGAAAGTGGATGAAACGCACGAACAATGGACAGACGCGATTCATTTCCCTGTTTTCTCTAAAGGGTTTATTAGTTTTTCATGGACAATAAAACGGAGTTCGTGATACGATGGGAGACAACGGATTTAAAATAGAATTTCGAATTGCTTCTAATCTTGTAAGGTGAAAGGAAAGTGTTAATTTCTATCGCGTTAGAGAGTAATCAGTGCGTTCTTCTGACAAACCTCTCATTCGGAAAGGAAAATCAGTCGCTGCGTTTGAGATAGGCAGCGACTGATTCTTGACTGAAAAAAACAGACGCGAATAAATCCGAGTAATTCTCGCCAAAACAGCGCCAGTCCCGTACTACAAAAGGACCATCTCCCACAATACATTCCTCTCTCGTTCTATCCACGCAACTACGGCCTCCAAAAAAAAAAGAAGAAAAAAAAATATTCCGCCCCCGAGAGAAAGAAACAATCGCTGCGCCTAAAAGCATCTCTCCTTGTCACCGAACAACATCCGCGCAGCCTAAAAACAAAAACGATCGACGAACGATCCTCCCCGAGGTGTGGAGGAGGGCTAGTGAAGAGATTAGAAAAAAAGAAGAAGAAAAACAGAAAAGACACGACGGTGGAAGCGAGGGAGGAAGATCGGAAGAAAAAGATATAAAGGCGAAAGAAATACAATTTAAGCGGTAGGAAAAGCTACCTCAAAAGGTACACGCGTGAACACCGTTATCCTCGAGTGGATGTGAATGCACAACGACATGGGGAACCACGAATACAGAACATCTCGTTCCTCCACCTCCGCCTCCGACCGGTTTCCTCTCCTCTCTTTCTCTTTCGACTCTGGTACCGACTCACCGGGGGGTTGCAAGCAACGCAAGGGTGAGAGAAAGAGAGACAGAGAGAGAGAGAGAGAGAAAGAGAAAGAGAGAGAGAGAGAGAGAGACTTGCTCTCTCCGGTGGCTAGGAAATCCTATGACGAAACAGCATCGTGTCCATGGCAACGACGCCGTCGGTACCGCCCCGTGTTCGCCGCAGGGCCAACCGTAACGACGGCTGGCGTCGCGACGCCGACCAATAACAACGTGACTCGAGCCCCGCGATATCCGCTACCCAAGCTTTACTTTCCTTGACCAGTTATGAGCGGCTGAGGGTGGAGATGATCGCGCGCGCGGGGGGTTGGAATCGCCTTGAATCGCGCACCGATACTCCCTAAACGTCGACGCCGAACGACGGCTGCCACGATCCGCGAGTATCTTTCCTTCCCTATACAGCTGTTTGCCTTCGATTCCTCGTTTTCAATTCAATTAGAATTTTAGCCCTGGCAAGCAAGCCGGGCTCGTGCAACGCGTCAAAACGACTCTCCGTCCGCCAGCGGGGGTGGTGTCTGTCTTCCGTGTTCTTCCTGCTTCTCTTTTCTCTCTTTTTTTCTCTCTCTCTTTCTCGCTCTCTCTCTCTCTATCTCTCTCGCACCCTTCTTTCCCCTCTGTTTCCCCATCGAAGCGAAGCAAGTTGCAGTTTCGACGACGCGAGATCGATCACGTTTGCTGATTCCACGACGCGTACGTGCTCCTTTTTTTTTTTTTTGTACTTCTTCTTCTTCTTCTCGAGAGGAATGACAGCGATCTGGAACAGCGATTTTCGAGATTAGTGCTTTGGTGAAAAATGTGGTAACAAGGGTTTCTGGTGTACTTCTCAAGATTACCTGGTGAACTGGATGGTTAACAAGTAACTGGTTAACCGGACATTTGGGGAAACGTACAGAGGGTTACCTTGGAGGATGCAGAAAGGTGCAGAGGATGATCTTGTTGCTCGTTTTATAAATGGATCCTCACTGTGAAGATTTAAAGTGCCGGATGATCAAAGACACTTGCGCTGACGCATGGAATTGTCAGACTGGAGATGAGGTATCTGGCAAGGTGTATTGACACTGAATATCTGACTGAATCTGGCAAGTCGTGTTGATATTGATAACCGAAACGTTAGCTTGAAGTTTTGTAAGATGTAGGGTAATGACGTTTATGCCGAGTTTTTGAGTTTCATACACTGCAGTGCAACTGAAATCATTTGTACGAGCGAACGCTTTCGTAAAGATTTTTAAAATGTGTGCACGCGAGGATGTTCGTTCGTCGAAACGTCAACTCCACGTTTAGTGAATAATAATAATAATAATAATAATAATCCTGTTTCCATAAGCTTCACACGAAGCGAAAAGTAATCGACTTACCAATGAAATCGACGAAACTAAAAAACAGACCTCAATTGCTGTTCGAAATGCACGGCCAAGTGAATCATCAGTCAAAGTGAGAGGAGCGTTGCTCGGTGCGAAAAGAAAAGCACAAAATAAATTATTAATTACACGAATATACAAATAAGAACACGATATTTCGAGAAAGCTGCTGCTCAACAGTGTAACAAAGCTATGTAAACAAAATTACCAAACCAATAATCGAAGGTCGACAGTTGAAGTTGCTTATTTTAATACGACTTCGAAGAAGAAGAAGAAGAAGAAGAAGAAGAAGAAAATGCAGTCGACTTGTCAGCAACAGCAGGCCCAGCCAGGCCAAAACGGTACGTCCGCGAGCAGAACATCGTTTCTAATCGAAGACATCCTTAGCCGTGGAACGGCACCGCCGCATTCTCATCATCAGCTTCATCATCAGCATCTAACGTCCAGCCACGGGGTGCAGCATCAGCAGTATCAACAGTTCGCGAATTTATTGCCCGGCTACCCGTCTGCACCGCCCACAGCAACGTTTTTCCTAGGCCCACTTTTCGGCAACACCGCGATGGGGGTTGGAGTGGTCCCCGGAGTTACTGAACTCGCGGCCTTGAAGCACTGCCGTCGACGGAAGGCACGAACAGTGAGTGATACCACTTGCAATCCCTCTCTTCCTCTTGTTCCACTGATCACAGTCGATCACATTCACGCTCTTCACTTGTCTCGACACTGGAAATCATCATACATCATCTTATATCACATATATCAAAATGATTATGTGTCTGTCGATTTTGTAATTATTTAAAAGACACAAGTGTCTTTTTTTTTTAATAAAAAGACTCACGTTGAGTTTTATTAAACTAGAAAGGACATTATGTCTACTTTGTTATCATTGATAATTCTTTTCGGTCATTGTTAATTGCTAGATTATAGCAATCTCTGTCTTCCTCTTGTTCCACTGATCACATTCACGCTCTTCACTTGTTTCGACACTGGAAATATCAAAATGATTATGTGTCTGTCGATTTTGTAATTATTTAAAAGACACAAGTGTCTTTTTTTTTAATAAAAAGACTTACGTTGAGTTTTATTAAACTAGAAAGGACATTATGTCTACTTTGTTATCATTGGTAATTCTTTTCGGTCATTGTTAATTGCTAGATTATAGCAATCTCTGTCTTCCTCTTGTTTCACTGATCACATTCACGCTCTTCACTTGTTTCGACACTGGAAATATCAAAATGATTATGTGTCTGTCGATTTTGTAATTAT